CCAGCCCCGCCCACAGCACCTGCGTCACCGGGCACGGCTAGCTGCGGCCCCGCCCACACCACGCCCGTCCCACTTGACTCCGCCTACCGGAGGCCTGTCCCTTAGGGCACCCCGCCCGCGGGAAGCCCCGCCCACCCAGCGCCCCGCCCACCACACAGCCCCTGGCTCACCTCATTCCCGCGTCTGTGGCCCCGCCCACTATGCGCCCTCCGAAGCCCGTCCCTTGGGGCACCCCGCCCGCGGGAAGCCCCCCAGCGCGCGGCCCCTTTGGCCTCGCCCTCCCGGTCCCGGGCTCCTGGCAGCCTGGGCTGCCAGCTAGAGGGTGAAGGTCAAGTCTCTGTTTCCTGTCCTTGGGGTTCCAGCGCCTTCCACCTTTCCTTCTCCTCCCCTTCCTGGCGCGGGGCCGCACTGTCACCCCGAGCCGGGCTGGCTCCCCTGGCGTGGCTTCCTGCGTGCGTGTGCACGGGGTTGCAGGCGTGCGCTGCCGCGCCCGGCCTCTCCGACCCGGCCGTGCGCCAGCTTCCCCGGGTCTCTGTCCACGCAGTGCCCAACCCGAACGCCAGTCACTTCCTGGCCACGTCCCCAGCCCGAATTCACCTCCTCCTGGAAGCCCCCCGGCTGGCTGCGGCCGGAGCTGCCCCCACGGCGGTTTCGGGCTCTTCTCAGAGTGAGGGCAGAGGCTCCATCCAGCACCCTGCTGCCCGCTGGGCCTCCCGCCTCCCTTGCTGTGTCCCCGCAGGGTCTCCCTGCCCTCCCGGGGGGTGAGGAAGGTCGGGACCCACAGAAGTTGTCCCAGGAACTGGCTGCGTCCCTCGCTAGGTTTGTATCTGAGGCCCAGCAGGGGAGGGTGGGGTGGGGTCGGGGGGGCATGCCAGAGGCCAGGGACCACTGCGTCCGGCTGAGACCCAGGCGGGCGCCCCGGAAGCGCCGTGGGCAGGTGGGCGGAGGACAGGAAGGGACTGGCAGAGCTGGAAGCCTCCCCACCCCGACCCCAGGTCCCGGGGCCTCCGGCAGCAGCTGCAGTCCCTCCGGGAGCGCCTGGAGCAGATGGCCCGCAGGGGCCGAGCCAGCCGCGCTCAGAGCGCCGAGCTGCACCGGGACCTGTGCCGAGCTCACAGGTAAGGCCCGGAGGCCCTCAGCTCTCCCGGGCTCCAGGGCCGGGAGCAGGAGCCCCCTGCCTGGGAGGCGCGGATGGAGAGGATGGTGGTCATCCTGACCAGCAAATAGCACCAGTCTGGTAGTGCATGCCTGTAACTCCAGCTGGGATGGGGCAGCAGCCAGTCAGAGGCCAGCCTCTGGGGGAACAAACAGAAAACTTCTAGAAAAATAAAAGCAAGCAAAAAATAAGGGAGGGGTGCTAGGGCATGAGTCAAGTAGAGTAACAGCGGCCCGGCACGCGATCGCCCGGCCCACCCCCCCCCCAAAAGGCACAAGCCCCGGGACCACTCAGCCGCGATGGGAAGGGGGGTCTGGGGCCCCTGCTCTGGGGGCGGAGTCTAGCTCGGCCACTCCCCCCACAGCGCCCTGGTCCTGGCCTTCCGCGGGGCCCACCGGAAGCAGGAAGAGCAACGCCGGAAGCTGGAGCAGCAGCTGGCCCGGCTGGAGGCCCGGCAGGCCGGAGAGCTGGCCCGGCTGGAGGCCGCGG